AGTTTGCAGCGATTGGCCATCCAGCTCTCCCATCTTGGAACGCACAGCCGGGCAAAGGCCTGACAAGCTTGCGCTCTTTTCAAGAAGTGTTACAAACAATAAAACCACTTTCCCAAACAGTAAACAGTTAATGCATTCAAACAAACTCATGTTTCGGTCATAGCCTTATAGTGCCAGGGGCCCCATGGCATACGGGCTTTGTCATGGTAGTCCAGGTGCAACTCCTTCACATTCGTCCGATCGTGCCTAAGATTGCGTGCGGTCACACTGACGTAAGCTTCAAAACGCGCTTGCACATTTTGCATGTTTGAGGTTCCTAAAACTTTTCGACGCACAAATCATATGTCATAGAAACATTGTGTTTAAGATATTCCAGTGCCAGAATGCAGGTCTTTCCATTGATTGTAGAATTCAGTGCGCCAAGCCATCCTTTTGAACGTAGCCAAATGCATCATCAGCTGTAAGAAGAAGGTCCTCAACTGATCCCCATTGAAATTGGCGGCGAGGAAGTCTCTGCACTCCATGGCTGACGTGGAACTGTTTGGATCCGGAAAAGCTTTGAAGCCACAGGGCTGAAACCGGCAAATCGTGGTAAATCTGGGCAAATCGTGGTAAATCTGGGCAAATCTTGGCAGATCTTGGCAACACTTAATTGATGAATATTGTTGCGCGCACCTCTGCAACATGTTCTGCAGCACCCTTGCAGGCCCATGTCATCTTAGTGACAGGGCCTTGCAGGGTGTGGCCTGCGGATGATATTGTGGGTGAAAAGGCGATTGCGGCAAAGCCCGGCAAGGTCCATGTCATCTTAGTGACCAGGCCTTGCAGGGCGTTGCCTGCGGATATTATTGTTGGCAACAAGACTCCGGCAAAGCCCGACAATGCCCATGTCATCTTATAGTCACCGGGCCTTGCAGGGCATTGCCTACGGATATTATTGTTGGTGACAAGGCCTTCTGGCAAAGCCCGGAAAGGCCCAGTCATCTTGTGACTGGACCTTGCAGGGCATTGCCTGCGGATATTGTTGGTGACAAGGCCTTCCGGCAAAGCCCGGCAAGGCCCAGTCATCTTGTGACTGGGCCTTGCAGGGCGTTGCCTGCGGATATATTGTTGGTGACAAGGCCTTCTGGCATTTTCAAAGCCCTGCAACGGCCCAGTCATCTTGTGACTGGGCCTTGCAGGGCACTGCCTGAGGACATAAATTTAAATTAGCAAGGTAGCCATGAAACTGAGAACAGTATCGTCAGGTGTCGTCAATAGGTTCCATTCCACCGCGTACTGATCAGCAGCATTTTTTCCTGGAGACTCACGTGCTAATCACACGAATTGAATTACACCCCGCCGGCAATTTTTAATTGGCAGCGCCACCAAAAAACTGGAACGCTGACACACAGTCAACTGTCACATCACACGTTTTTAAACGCTTTAATGGACGTGGTGGACCCATCAGTTGTGGGTCGGCCTCCCAAATTTGGGACTTAAAAATGCGGACGTGGTAGCAATCAGGACCCACCAGTTGCCGATCTGTCCCCAAATTCATCTTTTCAAGCCGCCGTGCCAATTGCTGAAAGGCTTTGGCCTCACATTCCTGCACATTGACTGGGTAAGGACGAAAATGCAGAAATTCTTGGTCTTTATAACGCATCCATCCTCGTCCAGGCTAGCATTTGAACGTTGAATATGTTACTGTTAAGTTGAGGTCCAATAATTTACATGTTAATGGAGCTAGAATGCATCAACTGCACCTATCGGGATTTGATTTAGGAGAAAATGTTAAAATACATTTTAAAATGTTAAAATACATTTTAAATGTTAAAATACATTTTAAAATGTAAAAATAACGGATACGTTCAATGATTGAGGTGGGCAAGTGTTTTCCGAAGAATCCAGTCCTGCTCTTTAAAGTAGTAGCCATCGAGGATGGAGTCAATGATCTCGGCTAGGTACTTTATCTGAGGATTGTCTAAGTAATCCTTCATCGCATCGCGGCCTCATCAAGACATCAAAGTAACCCAACTTGAAAATATGACGGAGGTAATCAAGAAATTAACAATATCAAAAGTAATCCAAAGCCCAGGCACGTCTTTTCAATCTTGTCTTTGTCCAGACTCTCATGCCCTGAATGTCATCAGGTGATTGTCGATAGCACCTTCCCAAAGTAGCATCGAGGTCGTCAGCCATCCTCAAAACCCTTGAGCCGCAAACTGCAACAAAAACAATCAAAGCAAGTCCAAGTCAGCTTGATGTATCAAGAACGAAAGTTTGTCTGCCCAGCTGCATGCGCATCAAACCGCTCTAACACCACCTTGTTGCTGGATATGTTGTTTCACTAATGCATTTTCGTCGGAGGCCTACCCGGCCTAACCAAATTAACTTGAAAAACATGGCAAACAATTTTAATGGAGATACACGTGAACTCAGCAATGCAGGGATGGTTGGTTGACTGGTTTGGTAAGCCCCGCAAGGCCCTGCAAAGTTGCAGGACCTTGCTGGGCTATGCCAACCGGACGACCTGCCAACCATGCAAGGAAAATCGCATCACATTTTTTTCCGTCTCTCCAGTCCAGGCAGCACTCTCCAAAGTCAGACTCATGCCCACACTGCCGTCCTTTCATGCGTGGGATCCCTAATTTTGTAGACAGCATCTGGAAGATGGCCGGACGGTGGAGTCAGCTCCCACTGATCCTCAAAGCTAGGGACCAGCCCTGCCGCAACCAAGGCCCTCCCACTAATCCTCATGACCAGGCTGATACTAAAGCCATCGCCCAGCGTAGCACCGATCTCACTTTTCGAAAAATTTTGCAGCAAGTCATCAACCATAGGCTTGGGCCATCCTTGGAGAGCAGCGATTTCCCAAACATTCATCCAACGTTTCAGCGACATGAGGTAATGCCCGTTGTTGCCTGCCCTTGCCTTTGTCAAACAAGGTGACACATTCAACATGACCGACAAGAATCCCTTGCCAGCATGGGCATCGCAAATCAGCATTGCATTGCGCTTGGTATACTCAGCCTCCTGGAACTTCTTCTTGGCAATCTTCCAAGCCGCTTCAATGTTTTCCCTGCGACCAGGACTCACACTTTCCTCCTGAGAAACGTTGTTCACCAAAAACCTGTCGAAAGAATGGCAAGGGAGGCAAGTCGGCCAAACGAAGGGTGCCCCCAAACGACTCTTGAGCACAGCAACCACAAAGACCCGTGGTCTGTGGTGAGGGATGGCTCCATGAGTGCAAGTGTCAAGGACCTTGGCTTTGACTGAGTAGCCTGCTGAGCGCAGCACTTCAGCCAAGGCATCAAGCACAGGCCGGTTACGTTTGTTGACCAGGCCCTTCACATTCTCGAAAAATGCCACGCGTGGCGTCTGCGTCAACACGTAGTCGACACTGTGGAGCAGCACGCTTCCACGTGGGTCTGATAGACCACCACCTTTTCCTGCTGTTGAAAACGCAGGGCAAGGGGCGCCAGACATATAAATGTCGCATCTTGGCGCGGCAGCATTGTCTCTGCTAGTGATGTCGTGATAGACCACTTCCTTGGTTGAGCTCGCGTAAGCAGCAAGCGATGCAATTGACGCATCATGTGTTCGAAACAAGTTGCAACCAAGCTTCTGGAGTATCACCGAAATGTGCATGTACTTGCAGGGACATTTTCCTTCTTGTCTCGCAAATGTCCTTCATTTTTTTGACAAGTCAAGACCAAAAATGACCGCTGAAAATTTGCAAGGCACATCAAACACCAAAACTAAAACTTCAACTGATAATAAACAAGCCAAGTATCTGATATGAAAGCCGTCTGCAACTTCACCGATGCTCCAAGCGCGAACTTGAGGGCAACGAAGTCCGAACTGAGACCTGTGCAGTCTGAGCCAAGCTTGATAACCTTGCCTGAGCCGGCTCTCTGTCCAGCATTCGGTACCTTCTCCGCCCGTTCTCTCAATGACTTGATGAACTCCTGCGCAAATTTCCTGGGCGAGCAGCGGCTGTCAACTTGCATTGAATTGGCATGACTTCATATTCGACCACAAACATTCTGAATTATTCGGCACGCGCAGCCAACAAACTCAATTATCATGCAAATGGTGCAAATCCAGCACAACTAGTTAAATATTTCACAGCTTTTGATTCATTATCTTCTCCTTAAAAATGAAAATAACTTCAAGTACCATGCTTGACACCAGCTAAAAGTTTATAAGTGAATCAAGTGTCTTCTGCGCCTCTGCGCTGGGCTCTTTTTTTGCTTTCTCAACTGATTTCGGCGCAGTCTTCGATGATTTCGCTGCCGGCTTCTTCAAACAATGCTTCTTGACTGGAGGTCCACTCTGTGAACTTGATGCAGGCTTCTTCAAACAAGTCTTCGCCATCTTCTCGGGTGTATCTTTCCGTCCTGCATTGCTCTTCATCCGCTCAGGTTTGGTGACTTTCCTCTTCATTGGCTCAGGTTTGTCAACCCTCTTCGCATCACACTCTGCCCAGTCAAAGTCCAAATCCATTTTGAACTAATTAAATCCTCTTGAGAGTAAAGGGCAGATACAAATCATTGGAGGAAACTTGCATGCAGGGCAGCTCCAGGATTTCCATCAGATCTTAAAAGTCTTTAAATTGAAGTGCCTTGGCTTTCTAAATTTGTCTGCTGGTTAGTTCCGAGAACCCGCTTCCACATTTTTCCCCAGCGATCGAAACCGGTGCCTTATTGTTTGACAAAATGGCAGTCACCCGGGCTGACTGAGTCATCAAAACTCAAGCGTCGGCTCAAACAGGCCAAGGCTAAATTGGCCACTTCAACAATGATATAATATATATATATATTTGTAAATATTTATATGGATGTTATATATATATAAATATATATAAACATAATATATAATATATATATATAACATATTGCTGAAATCGCAGTTCAACTTTGAATGCAACGGCATGTTATATGTTAATACGGTGTATGGGGTAATCAGTTCAAGTCGGCCAATGGTATCCCATCATCCAAAGTTCTACTCACTTCGCCTCAGTCTCTGAAGCGGAATCTTCGAGTGATGGCCTGCACGCCCGACGAAGCGTCAACTCCATCAGTGATGGCAAGCGGTTCGGCAACCCGGATGTCGGAGAACTTCGGGCATTTCAAAATGGTGTTGATGGCCTCCATCAGCGACTCATAGTAGCCCTGGTTCTTTTGGGCGTCAGCGGGCATGTTGAGATTGGTCAAAGCAGCAGGCTGCCCAGGCATCCCGCCTGCAGCTGCAGGGGGGTTGCCAGCCTTTTTGGCTTGACTTCTCTGCATCTTTGCCTCTTTCATTGCCTGACTGACGCGCAAACAAAAGACTTTTCACCAAACCCGTGTTTTTTTTAAATAGGCGAGCATGGATCAATTTAAAACATTAAACGATGATCTATTAAATTAAGTTCCATCCCAAGCGCCTTCACCTGTACTTCCTTTGCCTGGGCTGCTTGCTGCTGCGCTTCATTTTTGGTCTTTCCTGCTCTGATAAGCTGCGCAACCAAAGCTTGCTCCTCGTCGTCCACCTTTTTCTGCTCGGACTTGTTCAGCTTCCACTTGCTGTAATGCTCCGGCATGATGCCCACTGCTATCAGCAACGACAAATTGCTCTTGACCCTTGATGTGGAAAAGCGGCAATGAAATATTTGTTGAAGGCTCTGGAGTTCCAACACCAAACTGAAAACTGTGTGATGTCTTATTAATAATATCAAGTGATCTGATTTTAGTTATCTTCAATTTTTGACTTCAAGGTTCTGACATCATACTAAATTTTCTTTAACCCAGACATGCATAATCGGTGGCAGCTGCCTCTCACTGTTTTCAACCCGACGATGTTCCAGCTTAACTCCATCGGTTTGAGACCTGGCACTCGTGAAATCAACATCAATGACAAGACAACAAAATTACACAAGCATACTGTCTAAACAACTGCAAACACATAAGGTTAATCTTAATGAATCTTAAGTAAAACACGAACCTAGGAATGAATTCAAATTGCCTATCTCACATCATTCATCGTTATTATGTTTAAAATCTGATTTGACAAAGCAGTTTGAACCAATAAAAGACACTTTAAAGCAAATCAGGAGTATCATTATCAACAGTGACACAATCAAGCCCTCTGAAATTTTTCCCCGGCGTCAGTCTAGCCGTCAATGACAGTGACGCATCAACAAAAAAACAAGCCCTCGGATTTGGCGTGCGGCGAGGGGACCCCCCCCCGTTAGGGGGGGGCCCTCGCCAGGCGAACCTGGCTTCGTCCGGCGAGGGGACCCCCCCCCCGTCAGACCCGTGCGGCGAGAGGACCTCCTCCCGTTACGGGTCCGTAACGGGAGGAGGTCCCCTCGCCAGACGAAGCCGGGTTCGCCTGGCGAGGGCCCCCCCCTAACGGGGGGGGGTCCCCTCGCCGCACGGCAATGCCGTAAATGAAGCTGGCTTCATCCGGCGAGAGACCGCTGTATAACGGTCGCGCTTTTGACCGCTGTATAGCGGTCGCGCTTTTGACCGCCGTATAGCGGTTGCGCTTTTTTACTTTGACCAATGATTGCATTTTGATTCTAAGATTTAAATATATTAAAGATGATTAATAATTTTTAATTTAATGGCACATGGCCAAAACGACGACGACACTGAACTGATGAACTTGAAAACATTGGAGCATCCCCCCGGGCCTCAACACTGTAGTAGGCAACGGCAGGCTTGAGAATGGGCCAATGAGTCCTGGGGCAATTGGCATTTCACGCGCTTGAGAACTAGATATTTAATCATAGATTGTCGGCAAGTGAGTGACTCAGTAAAAGGTCTTTTACCCCTATGCCGGATTGCTGGTTCAGTATCCTTCTAGATATTAACCTCTGGCTCTTCTGGCCCAGGTCTGATCTTGCAAAAAGTTACAGCTCCAGGGGTCGGTCTCCACGCTTTTGGTTTGTCGTACTTCCTGATGTCCCTGATCATCCATGCGAACATCTGTTCTTGTACCCGTTGATCACATCGGGCATACTGTCCTTGTCAAAGCCGACCTTCTTTGTATTCTTCGCGTTCAGAAAAAAAAATCACATGTTTCTCAGAGTTGGACGCCGGCTGCCACACACCACCACGCTTGGACCCAACTCTCAAGCATCCACTCAGCCGGATTTCCCCAAGCAAAACGTTTGCCTTGCTGCATGCCACGGCGACTATTTCTCCTTTCTTGTTGGCCGGAAGGGGGTAGGACCGCAGCTCCCAACTTTTACCTTCATTAAAAATCTTTTCGCACCATGGCTTGCGTATGAAGAGCGCGTACTGGACCATGGCAGCTAGGCCAGTTCAAGCTGGCTATTATACTTGGGAGAAGCAGCTGCCAAGTGTGTTGATTGTTTTTTTTGGCGAATTTCGGCTTAGACTCTTGGATCAAATCCGCTGAGGCTTGGTAAATAACTCCGTCCGATTAATGCATCAAGTTGCCAAACCCGGCAAGGCCCAGCTACATAGCTGGGCCCTGCATGGGCGTGGTATCTTGTGGTAAGTTGACAATTGTCCTTTAATTTAAATTTTAAGCATCGATTTGCCAAACCCGGCGGGGCCCAGCTAAGTAGCTGGGCCTTGCACGGGCCTGGTTCATTGATGGCAAGTTGATCATTGATGCATCAAGTCAGTACATCGCTTTGCCAAGCCCGGCAAGGCCCAGTTATGTAGCTGGGCCTTGCATGGGCCTGGTAAATGGATGGTAAGTTGAACATCGATGCATCAAGTTAATACATCGCTTTGCCAAGCCCGGCGAGGCCCAGCTGCGTGGCTGGGCCTCGCGTGGGCCTGGTAAAAAGATTAGATGGTAAATTTTGAATTGACCATCGATCCATCAAGTTAATACATCGATTTGCCAAGCCCAGGGGGGCCCAGCTAACCTTGCCTGGGCTTGGTTTAAATTAATTTTAGCATTGATTTACCAAGCCATTCAAATGTCAAGTTAAGGGCGGGCGGCGCTCTCTTTTTTTCCCATGACCATCCCCTTCATGGCAGTAGCGAAGGTTCACCCTCTGAACACCCCGGACGTGTGCAAGTCCATCCGAGAAATTTTATCTAGGAAGGAAACCTTGCACAAAAGACTCGGATCATGTTGACACTCAGCTTTGGTCGCCAAGACAAAACTAGCTTCTTGTCTAGTCTTCGCGAGCTTCCAGTGGCTGAACTTCACAGGCTTGTTCAGCAAAGACCTGACATTCTTCTCAAACTCAGGGTGTTGGTTCTTGAACTCGGCTGTGAAGAAAAATGTTCGAGGGGTCCCACATGCTTTTTTGAATTTCACCTTGAATCCTTGCTGGCCATTGAACAGGCAGGCGTCCATGACAATCAAACCAAGTCCAGCCGCAAAAAGCCTGGCCCTTTCAGGCATGTTGGCGCATCTCCTTGGCATCAATGTCGGGCGGTTCCAACTTGGTCTGCTTCGTCGGGGTTTCCACTGCCGAGCCCCCGTCTAAGCTGCTGCAGGCTGAAAAGGACAAATCAGTGTCAGGTTCCATCATGGCTGCCGCTGACGAAAAATAATAACCACTAGTCGTCGTACGGTGTGAGTTTACAAAAATTGTTTTATCCAATGTTACCCTCTTAACATGCGCACCAAGTTGACCAAAGCTTTGGTTGAAGTTACCCTCACATTAAAATATGATTGACCGCATGTGTCCATTGCCAACTCTGACCGAGATTGAAATTGCTGCAGGGCGCATGTGACTTCACGCAGGGCTACACCGTGTCCCAAACCTGTCTCCCCAACCGATCAGTGTCCTTGATCGCATTGACGATTCACTGTCCATCGTCAGCCTCGAGCCAATGATGAAAAGTAATCACAAATTAAAAGGATGAAACTTGATTCAATACTGACGACAAGACGACAGCAGTGATGACAACATTAACGACAAAACTGTCTGGATGCAACGCAAGCAACCCCTTCAAATCGCCGCGCACGCTTCTGCCTTGCAGGCCAATCCAATCTCATGACACAACATTACGGAAAATCAATCAAGTCAACTCACAAGCCAACGAAACTTCATCTTAAACATGTTTTTAATTTAGCTCCAGCCACCTGTCATCTTTTCCAACGGTGCGGAGGGTAGCCAACTTCTGCAGCTCCAAATAGAGGTCCCTCAGCTGCGAACGGTATGATGACGAAAGGACATTTGCATCCACAAAGTCCAAAATAAGAAACTGCAAATGAGACGAGACACTCTCCGTCGTCATTGTCATGGTCCAAGTTTGCCTCCTCACTGCCATCGTCCTCCGCCTTCTCTTGCTTCACTGTCACCTTGCCACTGCCACCCTCCGCCTTTTTCTTAGCCTTTGCCTTTTTGCGGCGGGTCTTCCTCTCCTGGTTGGCCATGGACTTGAGCTGAGGGTCAGCATTACCCTTTCTCCGGGCTCTTTCAATCGCTGCTCCAGTCTTCGGCTGAACCCAATCTCCGCAGAGCTCTGAAAGTTCTCCTCAGAGCTCAAAGATGACTTGATAATTCCATCAAGCTGCAAATTGAATCCCTCAAAAACCCGACGAAAACAAAAACACGCAAACAGAACAAAATCAAAGCAAAACAAAACAAGGAAAACCGAAAAACAGAGCTCAAAAAAACGCAAACAGAACAAAAACAAAACAAAACAAATCTGAAGCTTGACAAGGCACCGACCACAGTCAAGGCACGGACGTGGCTGGGGGTCGACATCAGCTGGTAGAATGCCGTCTGCAGTGACCCATTGAATGCCGGCCAGTTAACGCGAGGAATTGTGACATCCTCCGTCGGCAGGTCCTCGTACAACAGCTCGCCACACATCATCTCATACCTCGGAATGCGTAACATGTCACAGAAAAAAAAACCGCCCACAGCAAAACTCCTTCCAAAATTGACCAGCAAACAACTTCATAATTATCTTCAGAATTAGTTGCAACACGCATCCCAAGCCCCAAAGATCGGCTCTGATTGTCATGGGGACAACCGAATTCCAGATATCATAGGGCAGGTAATTGGGTGTTCCTGCCACAGTCACATTCGGCCCCATCTCCACTGTCAAACCGAAGTCCCCAATCTTTGCAATGCTGCCGCTCACAAAGATATTACCGGGTTTTATGTCCCGGTGTATCAGCCGCCTGCTGTGCAAGTGCATCAGGCCGGACGTGATGTGCTTCAGGAATTTCCCCGACATCTCCGGCGGCAAGTGACCCAAGCGGTGCTTCCTGATCTCTGTATGGAGATCGCCATCCAAAAGCTCCATCTCGATGTACCTGATGCCTTGGCTGAAGGTAGTTATTTTCATTGACAATGTAACACATAAGTGCCAAAAAACAACATGCACCAAAATGAAAAATAAACGTCCACTGAACAATGACAATAATAATATGCGCACTCAAACCGAAAAAAAGCCACTGCAGCCTCCCTTTGTGAAGTCTCCACACCCATAAATCGGCACTAGGTGGGGGTGGCGCAGGGTCAGCATGATCTTTCCTTCCTGCGGTGGCTTTGGAAAAAGCCAAACCTGAATCATGATAAAAACGCATGAGTTACCATTATTTGGCTCATTGACAGAGACGAATAAAATTAACAACGAGAAATAATAA